TGTCATGAATGTTCTAGGATATGAACTTGAGTATACCGATCAACTTCCCAAGTTCAGTGAAGAGGAGATTGCTGAGTTTAGGCGACTTAACGAGGAAGGAAAAGCTGCAAAGAAGGCGTCCCTTCAGGAAACAGACCCAGAGGATCATAAACGTCGCATGTTACAAGCGTCGGTTCTCGAAAAGAATGTCGTGTTCCCTGAGAAGAGTGAGGCCGAATCATTCTGGCATGAAGTCAAGAACCAGCTATGGCCTCTCCGCCCTGTTTCCTTTTGGATGCTTCTGGCTGGTTTTACAAGTGGCTTCTTAGGCGGGTTAATCGGTGTACGTGGTCCACCCCTTATTATTTTCTTCTTTTTCTTTGAATATCCTAAGAGTCAGATCAAGGCAAACGGAACCATTGTTGCCACCATCAACGTTGTAATTCGTGTGGTCACTTACATTGTAAGATCACCACCAGCCTCGTATCCAAGCAAAAACTGGTTCACAGAGGAGGATAAATATTTGTATATTTTTGTCTCTATCATTGGTGTGTTAGGGGCACCGGTTGGGCTTTGGCTGTCGAAACATATCAATCAAACACGCTTCAAGATGATTTTAGCGTGTATCCTAATCATCAATGGCGTTACCATGATTGTAACAGGTTCTTTCGATTTGTAAAGTTTTTCCTCGCTATATACTCTTGATTTAGAAACTTTGTCAACTGACAATAATAAACAATGTAAACGATAACACCGAAAAGCGTTTTGGAAAGAATCACAGGGCTTAATCAATTTCTCAAGTATCACAGTGATATAACAGTGGTTTTGTTTGTTTTGTTAAAGAAATTTCTGAAGAAAAATCTACTCAAAGGTGAAGTTGTCGGCTTTTTCCCCCACCAAGAAACTGAAAACCATTGTTGGAATGCATCCGCATTTATCTATCTTCGTACGTTTATTCGATCGGGTATATCAGACCACTAACTAATTGAGCACGTCTTCTTCTACTTGTTGTTAACAATATAACGTAAATAAATGAGGTTTTGTTCGTGTTTCATCTTATGTAAGGGAATCCAAGACAGTCTTGGATTACGGATTCCTCATTGTGGATTCCGGATTCCAGGTACTGGATTCCAGATTCTTTGTCAGTGAAACTTGGATCCCGGATTCCAATTGTTACTGGGACTTTGGAATCCTTGAGCCGTTTTCTGGATTTCAAAGTCCAGAGTTCCGGATTGCACAAGCAAAACTTTCCTGGATTCAGGATTCTAGAGGCAAAAATTTCCTGGATTCAGGATTCCACAAGTAAAAATTTCCTGGATTCAGGATTCTGGAAGTAAAAATTTCCCGGATTCCTTTATATGGGGGGACGTATTACATGACTGGCATCATGACGAGGTCGATGAGGTGTTTCAAGTGTTTGATTGTAAATTACTATAATTTTAATCGTGTTTTTTTTTGAATTTATCATAACCGGGTACCGAGGAGTAGCATCAACAAATAATTAAACGAGGAGATATAACTAAAGACGAACGGGAGAAAACAGATATGTACAGGAACAGTTAGTTAGAATATTGTGTGTAGTTACCGTTTATCGTTACTTTTTTTCTTTCGCTGATGCGTTTGTATCAGTTATTATTAAAGGCTCCATAATTAAAGACCTTGTGTCCGATTACAGTGAGTACGAAAGTAGTTTGAATAAAATGTTAAAAATTTGCATTGCTTTGCTTTGCCCTCAGTCTCAACAGGTCCTCCCCTTTTCCCGTAAATGAAAAAGTTCATTTTGACAAAATTGGGAGAACTTAATTGTATTCACGAAGGAAGAAATTATTAAAAGTAACGACAGCCATCCCAAATGATCAGTGTTGTCGGGGGAAGAAGAGCGGCCGTTACATATCACGTGTGACATCACACAGCGTCGAACAAATATGCCTGCCTGTGCTCTGAAAAGTGTGTAGCAAGGTTTTCCCGCATCGATGGTATTTAGGCACCAGGTATTCTGTGAAAAATTGCGCTACTGTAATAATAGATTCTTCAAAAGGCATTAAGATAAATGTATTGAATTAAAAGGTTCTATGTTGGTTTCGAACCGTTCATTATTTCCAAGTTCGAAACGCCAACAGCCAATTTCGATTTGTTTAACGTGAAAGACCGGTAACGAATCTCGGGCGCTCCGGGGAACACGGCGCGAAAGAATAATAATTAAAAAAACCATCAGTGAGAAGAACGCCAGGTGTTTCGGTAATTCCTACGAACCTCAGCGTATTTTTAGCTCTTTTGAAGAAAATTTCCTTTCCTGTTTTGGTCAAGTATTGAGGGCCTGGATGGGGTTAACTGAAAACTGACATATTTGCCCAAAAGTGAGTAAGATGGGGTCTCTAATTGGCCACAAAATAGACTATAATGGGGTAGAGGCTCTGAGAGGCCAGGGGCACATACCCAGCAAAAATTAACCCAAGTACCCCCTCTTCCTCCCCCCGGGCTTTGAGCACTTCCGAAGCTAATTAAAAAACGACATTTTCAGCGTGCTTTGATTTCGTTACTCAAGAACACAAAAAAGGACACAGAAAAGGGAACAGTTCAGGTGTCTGGATTTGTGAGTCAGGTGTGAGAAATTGTCCTTGATGCATGAGATCGATGTCTTTAGTCCACAGGCATGCCCGGCAGGCATGATGCGTGTACAGTATTCTGAAGGTATAAATTTTGATTGGCTTAATTGTTGGAAAAGACTTGAGAAATGGTGGGCCACTTGAAACGCTTACAACAGCAAAACTGATAAAAAATTAAGCTGCTATTACTGCATCAGTTGTCGAATTTAATGTTTAATTTACATTATATGTGCCTTTCAAGCTAAATTTCGCATGAAAAATATACAAATAAGCTTCATAGTTGATCATTAATAACTATTTAACTGACAACTGACAAAAAGCCTAAAATTTAACGGACAACTGACAAATGGTTTTAGTCATTCTATTTTTAAAAAATCAACATTAATATAGCCAAAAGCGTACATTTCGAGTCTATTGGGACTAAGTGTTTTTCGTAACATCATTTAATTGGTTTCAAAATTGTTCTAAGTTGCTAGTAAGATGTATATACCTGCAGCCTATAATCACATTCCTTTTGTCTTTACCAACATTAACTAATTTCTGCCCAGCAAGATTCAACTAGTTCCGTATTAAATTTAATATCAGGTCTAAGTATAGCTTTAAGATTGTGGGCTATATATAAAGCAGCTCCGGCCGCGCTTGTTCGCGAATCAGAGTGGTAAAAGTTATAGCCTTTGATATTAATATTGGCAATCTATTTATCACCTAATTTAGTTTAACTAATGTTTAGGCAATTTTTTACACCGTTTTTAGCCAAAGTTCTCACTGAAGTCCATTTCTAAAGGCTATTTCAATCTTCATCTTGGATGAGTATGTACTCATTAGCATTTTCCTGTTGTCCGCAACTACATCCACACCAGGGGTGGCAAACCCGGTAAAAACACTGCTTGAGGCAGGAAGACACTTTTCTCCAAGTAGACTTCAAATAAAGGAATCCCTTAACTAAAAGAACAAGCAAAAAAAGACATCATTAATCAGAATGATGAAGAGCATTGTTGAAAATACATGTAGAAGGTAGAGAAAATTCGCCCCATGCAGATTCACCTCTTCAAAATCGTGAACTAAAATATAATTGTTATTTCCTAACTCATTTTTAAAATAACTCATGAAAAGGAAACAAAGGAAACCACTACAGTGAGGATTGATATTGGTTCTTAATTACCGCATAAAAAATGTGAACTTTAGCTTTAAATTTCTTCAAGAATCCAAAAATTGTTATTCATGTACGAAGCTATATCAAACACTCCACTCAGTGTTTCATCGATAAATAATCTAGAAATAGGACTTAATTAAACATTATCTTGGTTACACTTCGTTTTTCAACCCACTTCTCGTTATCTGGAAATCGGATGAATTACTGGTTGTCGTGTTTGATATATTACCCCGAGTCATCTTGTGATGGTGATGGTCCTTATGATGATGGTGATTAAACCAAGTCAGAAGCTCGAATTTTTTTAAAACATCAGAAGCTGACACCACGGCAACAATAACACACTGGCTTCCCTAGTTGCTTCAATTTGTAACAAAGCTTTTAACTCATGCATCAATTACAATTGCGTTCGACTTCAGGAGAACGCAACATAAAGTCAATGCGCTAGAAGCCTGGGCACGGAAAGAAACTCGATTTTGGTTAGAATGGGCCAGGTACCGGAAACGGAAATACGTCATAGTCTTTAGACTTCTCGTTCCCAGAACCCGTCGTTTCCTTTGAAGGAGCCCTTTGGAGAAAAATCATGTTAAGAAATGCTACGGGGGATATTGAGAACGTTCAATTCGGGTAACTTACAGTTGAATAGACAACAAACGTCAGCTGGACATACTGTTGGTTTGCAGAACATAGCTCACTTCGGAAAAGAGTGAAAGCCTGGGACCCGAACTAGGCGCGCACGCGTTTATGGGATTATTTGGTGGGGGCCGTGAAACACTTGAAACTCGGTTAAAAAAAAAAGAACGTGGCTCTGCCAAACCCATTTCCCCGATTAAACTCGTCGCCATAGTTCACTGAATCGCACAAACTTCTCCACTTTGGTGACATTCATCTGCAACCGCAATTGGGCTATTGCATTTAAAACCCGTCCCCCCAGCCCCCACCCGGTAGGACGGGGTAGGACCTATATTCTTCAGGGATAAACCAATATTTTATGGCAGTCTTCAGGGGTAAATGTAACTTTATTTAATCTTCTGGGGTAAGAAGAAAAGGTAGAACCACAACCGGGGAGGACGGATATTAAATGCAATAGCCCATTCCAAAGGTAAACACTTGAACGCACGTACCATTCCCTACTTTGAAATAGTGTATTTTGACGCATACGTACCCTTCTTTCTTCTTTTTCTTTTTTTTTTTTTCCACAGCACTGATCATTCAGCATTCATAGGAATACTTCTACGAAATATCGAAAAATTTCACTAGTTACATTAAGGAGTCTGTGAAAGGCAGAACTCACCTGCAGCCACGATCAAGACGGAGCTGTTAAGGAGAAGGAACAAAACATTGATGAAAATGGAGTCGTTTTCCACGTGTTTTTTCCTTCCATCAGACTGACCATATAAAGAGCCAAGGCAAACGTTGAAAAATGTTATCCAAAGCACAAACGTTTGGAGACGATCTTCAAACTTTCCTTTGATGGGCCTGAAAAGGGTGTAGGCTATCCCCGAGGCACTTGTTATAACCAAAGTGAAACCAATCTGAGAGTGGCTTTCTGACCCAAAAAGAAGAATCAAGGAGATAAGGAGAAGTTTGCGGTACATTTCAAGTGTTTCCCAAAACCAGTATTTCTCCTTGTAATTTTCAAAAAACACCCTCAAGCCGAAGGCAATTTCTTTCTCCGTTTCCGCCTGTCGGTATTTATAAATGGGAAGAAGCAGCATTAACGGAAATGCAATAGGATAAAAGGCAAACACTGCAGCAATTTTCCAGAAGATCTTGTGCCGAGACGTAAAGCAGTGGATGGAGTAATCAGCCCTCAGTAGGGAGACACAATCGCTTTTACTGAAGCACACGTTAACACATACACCAGGCAACGGCAGAATGTCAATGATCTTCTTGCTTGTCACCGGGTAAGACAACAGAAGAAATAAGAATATGTTGCGGTAGCAAGACTTTTTCAGCCTCGATATTTGGATCATCTTTTCGCTCATTGAATCCTCCATATTGTTTATGTGGCGTTTCTTCAGGAAGAGGTAGAGAAGTATAAGAGAAACAACAAATATGTTCATGCCAACAGCGAGAGAAAATTGTAGGAATGGATCCGGGCGCAGTTTAGAGTAAATGCAGCTTAAAGGTGCAAACTTCAGTATGTTACCCTCAACAACGTTCAAATATTTTTCCATGGAGATTAGAATAACAGGCCATCGAACATACACAAGCGCAGAAAAGATTCCAGCAATGACTTGATAAAATCCAATAACAATTTTGCAACAAGACATAACGACATCTGCAACCGTACGATTGTTTTCTGTGCGTTTCGAGTCACCCCAAAGAACCACTAAAAACACCGCAACAAATACCAGAACTACGACTACGCATGATATGATTGTGTTAATCATTCTTGGGCATTCGAGGCACGTGTTAAATCGGAAGTAGTGGTTGATAGAGCATGAGGCACATAAAATTCCTTTGAACCTGTCTTGACAGGATGAGTCAACTCCACCATTACAGGATTTAGGATATGGACATTTTTGGGGCTGGGGTAGCGTTCCCTGAAACCTGGAGAATCTTTTGTCGTATGGAGGCTCCAGTGAGTAAATATTTTCGAGGAAGTTTTTATAAAACCGTTTTTCCTTTTCACTTGGCCATTTCCAATAATAATTTGGTGCTAGAATTGCTGTATCGTTGACACACTTTATACCGTGAGAAGGGCATTCAGAGCAGGAGCCAAAACGATCCATGCGGTAAAATCCGCGAAGGCATTTGCATGCGCGATGACCAGCAGTTTCATTGGAAAGTGTACCTAGCCATACACAAGTAAAACGATTTAGTGCTGAGAAATTTGAAACAAGCTTCAACCACGGAACAAGCAACCTCTCAATAACATAGTTTAAAATGGTTCACGTAATTGTTGTATTTATTCAACTGTTTTAGCTTAAATCTATATATCTGCCACAGGGTTAGCAAACATTTTGTAATTTCTCTCAACTTCCCCTGTCTTAGCTTGTTTACTGTTGTTTGCTTATGTCCTTTTTTTGGTTGTTTTATGGTTAGGGATTTTTGTAGAAGTGGCTGTAGACAGATTTTCGCGTATTTCTATCTAACCCCCTCTCCCTCCCTCCCTTTTTTCACTTTTTTCCCGTCCCTACCCACAATTCTCTGTCTAACACAAGTGACAGTTATTTGAAATCAGTGCGCGCCTATAAAAAAGCTGGTTCTTTGCGGTAAAGCAGTTCACATTTCGTTATTGGTCACCTTGAGAAAAGTTTCTTGGAGAACATCATGTAAAGCTCTGAGATGGGTGAAAGTTAATACGATTCGCGGAGTCTGCATCTTTCAATATCGAGCGTTTTTTTTTTGGTGTGAAAACAGGGTCTATGCTGGTCTGCCGACCGTGTGACTGTACATCCGGAAACTTGAATAAGACGAGTGTAAGAGAAAAGTCAAAAGGTGTTTATCTGCCAATAGGCTGAGTTTATCCGAGTTTGCGTTGAACGTGAGAAGATTATACGTGGTTGTGAATAGTCGTATCAGTGCCGCTAAAGTGTGTGATTGCACGGCGGGGCCAAACCACCCCCCAAAGGGCTTATTAAGGCTATATTTACGTATCTTTTACATTTCTTTTCATTTCTCGACCAAACTTGCCAGATAGACTACGGTTGTTGACCAAATGATAGTAATTTTTTTTTACGCCAATTGTCAAATTGTGACGTCACAAAGGCTGACGTCACCAAAATGGGTTAAATGGAGTTTTTAATCTCAAAGTCAAACTTATATCATTTGAAAGTGCTTTTTAGAAGAGGAGTAAAGCCGCGAAAACCGTTTTTGGCTACGGCACGTAAAACACGAGTTATGGGACTTCAAAGAAATTTGACTGCACCCCCCAGAACCATACTTTTCCTTAAAAAACGATCCTTCTGATATTGTTTTCAGTTGTCTGCAAAATAAGCTGATTTTCCGGTGACACAAACTTTTTATAGTTGGCCAAAATCGTATCATTTTAGATCTTTGTTTTTTGACTCAAAAACACCAATTTAAGCAAACCAAAAAATTGGTCTCATAACATTTTATGGCGTCACAAAACTGTTTTCCGGGTTTTTGCGCAGTTAGGAATTTCTGTTTTCCAATTTTTCTTTTTCCTTTAGCTTTCGGCAGTAAAGATGTGTTATGTGTAACTTAAATAGCAAGGGTGACTCGACAATAATACTCTTTAATTTAGACTTATTTTACAAGGGGGGTACCCCGTTTCTGTGCTCCGAATTTATTCAAATTCAAAATGTCATATCTCTGCTTATATTTGAGATATTGAAAAAAAATTTTTAGTTTTCAACTTCCCTTGAATAGTTCTTTCAAAAGCAATAGAAAAATTGGGAGATTCAAAAGTTTAAAATTTACGTATGAATGACGTCAGCAAATGTGACGTCATAATTTGACATTTGCTGTCATCCTATGAGCCATTTTGATTGGCGTGACGTTTTGTATTTTCAGGCCAAGTTTGGTTGGGAAAGAGTTAAAGCAAGCAAAGTTATTTTAAATTAATCGAAATAGTCACGTTTTGATAAGCCCTTTGGGGGGTTGTTTGGCCCCACCGTGTTGTGTGATTTCCGCATGGTGTTGACAGGTAGAACTCAGGTGTGTGGCCGCGTGGTTGAGCTGTGGCACCAAAATATTCTGTGCCAGCCACAAAAACGTTTCGTCGGTGTTTAGCTTAGCTGATTGTACCTTGCAAAACCAATTCTAGACACAGGAGAATTGGATCTAGGTCTAGTTTCAGCGAGTTCTTAGCTTTGAACCATTTAGGTCGGTTTTTGCAGATAACAAGGTGATAATTTGTGTACTATTTGTTTTAATTAGTTTGTTGTCTATTCCATGCGAAATCCTGTCGATTATCGGACCGCGAAAACAGTGGTGTTTTGCTAACTATTTAAGTTGTTGTGTGAGCCTTAACCGTGTACTTTTTGGCTGTAGTTCACGATTCAAGTTAAAAATTTCGAGACTGAAGTGACACCGGTTTGAAACTTCACGGCGTCAGATTACTGAATAAATGTTCTAAAATGTGCGTCATTTTAATTTGGACTCGTTGAAATGCCTCTAGGGACCTCTAACGTACTACCCGGCGTCAGAGAAAAGCTTTTAATTGGCCTTTGAATGATTTTTTATTGTTTTAAATTGCCAAGCAGTAGAATGAGCTGATTTTTTTGCTAACATGGTTTTCAAAAATCCAGGTATATAATAAAAACACACAAAAACAAACCAACAAAAAAGCTTGAAAATTAGGATAGAGGGCTCTTCGAGCCCACTTTCTTCAAAGATACGTTTTGCCTGGATTATATTGCTGCCATTTCTAAAATAGGTCCAGCGTTCTGAACGATCTTAGTAATCTCGACGATTGCCACGTCGATCTTGAATATATTTTGTATGAAGTCATAACTGGATCATCCACTTTACAGTCATGTAATATACCTCGTTCTTTAATCCACAAATCCCAACAAAGCTGTTAATACGAAGCAGCCATTGTAATTCTAGAATATTTGGGGACTTTTAACCGGACTGCCCACCGCTGTAGCAGCACACTTACACGTACCTAGTTTTTACCAGCAGGGTCTTTTTTGCATGAGCATGCGCGACCGCTTAACAAGCGATTTGCATCGAGGCTCACCACAGGGTCTGCCTTCATGAAGATGGCGCGTCTCAAAGCTATCATCGAGATTATTTGCTCTTTGGTCTTGGCGAATGTGCTCGTGATTTAACAAAATGTGTACCTTGGGTTCCAGGGGATATTTTTTTTCTCATTGATACTGATGGTTCGCGGCGAAGCCGCGTCAACGAGGCGCGAAGTACCGAGGATAGACTACAAGAAGTCCCCATTTTTCCTCAGGGATAGTAGAGCGAGGGAAACGCGAGCGCGCGTGAAAATTACCCCACGTGGCGTGGTAGTCGCCCTCTGATCGTTATCAATCCACTCCTGAAATATGGCTAAATCAGCTATCCACAAATTATTGACAAAAATTCTCTACGGCATCGAGAAACTAATTTACATCCGTTTTATAGACAAACACTAAATAAGGAACATTTTGCTTGATATCTACCCATCAGCAATGCATTCTATGCCAAACGTTGCGGTTCTTCAAAGGGAATCAAGACACGAGTCGAGCGCCAAACAACAACAAGCAGCCATTCGTGTCAGACATCCTTGAGAAAATTGCTCTTTCACCTCGTTCAGCGCATTCGTCTCCACTTTAAATCACCAGATCTTTACTTATTTTGTACAACGAATTGAAGATCTCCCGTACGTTCCTGCTACCATTTGAATCTCAAGCAAGCTTTCAAAGTGAAGAATTTGGTTCCTATGACCTGATTCACCACGGTGGCTGTCACTGGTCGCGTGCTCTTTATCAAGTCGCCGTCGCGCATGCTTACGCAAAAAAGACCCCTGTTCCCAAAATTAAGGTGATTTTTTCTTTGTTTACTTCACACAACACAAATGTCCCGCAACGCTCTTCCCAGGCAAAGACAAGGCAGAAACGGCTGTGAGGGAGACTACAGAAGTCGTTAAGCAGCGTGAGTTCGTCAATCTGACCCATGTGATCTACCTTTTTATCAGTTACAGATAAAACATTGATTATTCATTGATAATGTTTTCAAATTTTTGGTGTTGGAAATTTTTCTTTGTCTTATTTTTGTATTTTAGGGTGTTCCGGGGATTCCATCCTTCCAGGGGATGTTACGGGGTATTCAGGGGTGTTCTGAGGTTGTTCTTGGGGTGTTCCAGGGTGTTCTAAGGATTTTCCGGGGTGTTCTGGGTCGGAGTTTTCTGGGGTGTTCCGGGCCTGTTCTTGGTTTTACAGACACGCCATTCTACTGGCTGAAATCCTTAAAATATTTTATCAGGTCAAAATAGTTTCAATAGGCGCTATTCTGTAACGTTATATATTAAGACGTGCAGTTTGATTAACTGCAGCCAACAAGAAAACAGTGCATACATTTGAATTGTTTCCAGTTCTCTGATTAGCTAATAGTATTATCTTCGCGCTATTGATTGTCCCGATTTACTGAACTAGTTTGAGCCGTCATCATGGTAACTGAGTACGTTAGGTAATCACAATAACGGATTTGCGAAAGTATTAATAGTGGATGTTTACTAATGTTGGTTAGGTATTGTGTTTTGGTGTGGATATTGTTTGATGTCGTTTCAATCGTTTGGAGGTATCGCTTTATTTAGTGATAGCTCCACTCCAGGGTTTGTACAGATTTTTGAATCCAAACTTCAACACTTCTTCCAGACTTTTTTTTCCAAAATAATGATTTTTTTTTCCAGACACAAGATTATCAAACAGGTGATCAAAGGAGACCTTAAGAAACTTAGGAAGTAAAGGTTTTCTTTATGATGCGCTTTAACGCACGGGCGAGATTGAATAAGATTTGACAAATACGAAAAAAGATTTCACTTATCAAGAACTTGTTGCTACAATCCCGGACAAAACTAGTTGAGAAAGTTTTCCCCATCATGCCACTGTCCTACGCACCAAAACTATTTTTAAAACGACTTCTTTGCGGAAAGAAATCCCCTTCCCCCAATTCAATGTTGCTTCCCAAAAACGCCCAGGGATCAGGCTTTCTTTTGAATACACAACAACAATGCTTTCAGGGGAAGGGGGAGAGGGAAGAACCGGTACAGCTACGATGTTTAGGAAAATGCTGTCCAAGTATACAATTTTCTCAACAGTTTTGTCCAAGATTGTAGCTTTGAAAAAAAAAATTAACCATTTTTCCAGACTTTCTTTCCATTTTCCAAACTCTTTTACAGGTATGGAAAATTGCTGGGTAAATTTCAAGACTTTTTTAAAGAATTCAAGGCTCTGTACGAACCCTGCCACCCGCAATACCAAGAAACTTTGAATGTTTTACAGAAACTTTGCTCTTACCGTAAGGACATGCGTGACAGTCAGTTGGGGTTTTGCCAGGATGACGTTCCTCTGAAACGTAAGTGCCTGTGCTACAATTCTTGCAGGAGATCTGTCCCATTTCGCTTTGGTAAAAGCCTCCTAAAATCAATCATGGCGTATAGAATTGTTTTAGTCCGGGTTTGTAACATTTAAAAACAGTTTGCTAGGCTGTTCACAGCAAATATTTTCTGGACGTAAGCAAAGCCGGAAATTAGAGGGAACTTGGTAATTAAGGGACCTTTCCTTTTCAGTTGCTCAGACACAGTCACTGGCCTCACAGCTGAAACAAGACATTGAAAAAGTATACTTGATGTATACTTCACAAGAGGTATACTTCATGCATATTACTAATTTTCATTGGTTAATTAGTATCAAGAAATTGAAGTGCTGAGCTTCAACCTGGGAGTGAAACATGAAAATTGGGTTTGTTAAGATTTCCGGATAACCCCATACATTTATTAGGCATGCAGCAATTTCATACTTTTTCTCACAAATGGCTTAATATTAATAGAGTCGAAACATGTATGCATATTAAATGTATGGGGTTACACGGAAATCGTATACCTTAGGTTTTACCAACTGAGACCTGGACAGGTTTAATACTCAAACCAACGTAACACATTTTCATGTTTTGCTTATATTAACTGAGAGTAATCGGCGCGCGGAGCCTAGTAGAGTGCGTTCGATATGTTTGTTAGGCGTACAGGTACAGTTGAGGGGGGGAGATAAAATATGATTATGGAATATTTTGAACGTAAGTATTGCGTACAGTGAAACCTCTATTTAAACTCTGTATCATTATGATAAGTTTTTGAAGGCTAGTGATATCGTATGGTTCGTCTCAAGTGCTTGCAATTTTAGGAGACACTGGCCAGAGTGTGTCGGGGGTGTAAATATAACTTTTTGCTTTACTGGTGCAATATATGTTCTACAGGGGCCGATTAGCACTTAACCCGGGTTGCCTTTTCTTCTGTTCAAAAACAATTCTTCGGATAATTTTCTCTGTTATTTTCAAGAGCATCCAATCATCAACTTGTTGACAAAATGAATTACACTGAATTTACTTTTAAGCTTTCACATCTGAATTCAAATTTCGCACTAACCCTGCGTTACCTTAACCTATTTTTGAACGACCCGGCCCAGGTATTGTGAAAAAGCAAACAGTTGACAACGTTTTAGATGTAATCATTACTTATATTTATAGGGAATTCCACATGTAGACAATTACTGAAATTGACTATAAAATAAAACTGTTACCGGCAAGTCTTAACTTGTGTTGATATTAAAGATCCACAATAAATTGGGTTTGAACGCTTAAACTACACCTCTCAATTTCACACGTTTCAAGGGAATCATCAAAGCCTTCAGCCGGAATGTGTGTGCTGCTCACTTCAATAACTTTTCAGGTAACTTGGTCGAGTATGTTGATTTTGGTGACTTGAGTGGCGCTACTGTGGGCTGGTTTATAAGTTTTTTCGAATAAATAACATAGAGCTAAAATGTTCGTTTGTCCGGTGCCGAAAATATCACAAGTTATGTGGCGCCGCAGAGCTAAACGACCCGGTTTGATGCATGCACCAGGAGTTGCTGAAAAATATGAAGGCTTAATCTAAAGTAAAATTTTAGTACTTGTCATGTCTTTGATTCGAACGGACTACGTTCCGGAATGGCGAATAAGTGCGCATTCTCAAAGTGTATTGGCCGCTGGCCAAAAACACCACAACTCCTCCCCACTAGCTAGTGCATGCAATATGGTAACTAATAAGGATCTGAAACGTTAAGTCAGACACAACACGCCTATTGAAATAAGCACAGTCTTAATGTCACTTCAAAGTTCATAAATCCAGCCTGGCTGGGGGCTTCCGCACTCGGACCGGATATCGTCTAACAGGAACAGGTTCACTCAAATCTGGTGGACTGCTGGCTGCAGGGTCAGCCACTGGACTTGGTGGCAGAACATCAGTCTCCAAGTCGCTGGCTGCTGGCTGCTCACTGGCTACAGACACTGGGTCCTCACGACTCTCAACCTGGATTGCAAGTTCTGACGTCTGGGTAACAGGGTTGCTGCTTGGTGTTACTGGAATGCTGGTATCCCTCAGTTGGTCTGTGTGTCGACGCCACACTAAGCCAGGTTTGACTTCTACTTCGTAAGAAAGGGGGCCAAGTTGTGTGCGGATGATGCCAGGTACCCACTTTGTACTACCAGTGTAATTTCGTGCTATCACTGTCTGACCGATGGAGAATTCTCGGGTTACAGCACCACCCTTCGTGACGGTTTGGTCTATCTGACGGTTGCTTATCTTCAAGCGGAGGTCTGGTTTCAACAAGTCCAGTCGAGTGCGTAATCGTCTTCCCAAAAATAGCTGAGATGGCGCTTCTCCAGTGGTTGAATGGGGGGTATTTCTGTAAGTTGCAAGAACGTTGCCAGCTTAATGCCCAGGGGTTTTACTTCCGTTTCACTTTTCATGGCTGATTTGAAACTCTGCACACAGCGTTCGGCTAGACCATTGGTGGCAGGGTGGTATGGAGCAGATGTCAGATGTTTGACTCCATTTCTCTTGAGGAACATCTGAAACTCTTCAGATTTGAACTGTGGCCCATTGTCACTCACTAACTGGGATGGCACACCATATCTAGCAAATAAGCTTTGCAGTTTCTCGATGGTTTTGGTTGAGGTCGTGGTGTCCATTTTCTCTATTTCCAACCATCTAGAATGGGCATCCAAGACAATTAAAAACATGCAGCCGAGGAAAGGTCCGGCAAAATCAACATGGATTCGCTGCCAGGGTGACGATGGCCATTCCCAAGGATGTACAGGTGCGGTACTAGGTTCAGCCTGCATTCGCTGGCAACCCGAGCAAGTCTTCGCGGGTTCCTCAATTTCCTTGTCGATCCCTGGCCACCAGATGTAGCTTCATGCTAGGGCCTTAATCTTCACCACTCCAAGATGTCCTTGATGGAGTTCTTCAAGCACTTGTGGACGAAGTTTTGGAGGTACTATAACTGATTCCCCACATCAAACAGCCTGAGTGTACTGTTATCTCATCCCTGCGAGCGTAGAAGGGGTCCAGTACAGGAACATGGCTGCTTAGCCATCCTTTAGTCACCATCTCATGGACTTGACTCAAGACAGGGTCCCTTTGGGTTTCTCTTCGGACATTGTCAACTGTGACGGGTGACGGCTCAAACTGCATCATATTGAAAACATTAACTGGATCCACAACTTCTTCTGCTTTCTCTTCGGTTTTAAGTGGCAGCCGGGCAAGGCCATCTGCATTGCTATGCACTTTAGTGTTCTTGTACTCGATTTGGTAGTCATATCCAGCCAAGAATAATGCATAGCGCTGAAGCCGGGCTGCCGTAACCACTGGAATGCTCTTGTGAGGGTGGAAGATGGATGTTAACGGCTGATGATCAGTATACAGAGTGAAAGATCGGTCAATCAAATACACTTGGAATTTCTTGACTCCCCAGATTATTGCCAAAGCTTCTTTGTCAATTTGCGCGTACCCTTGCTCAGTTTTTGTTAGTGTCCTGGAAGCAAAAGCAATGGGTCGCTCAGTCCCATCATTCATCACGTGGGATAGCACGGCACCAATTCCCACAGGGGATGCATCACAAGCAAGCCTCAGTGGCAGACTGGGATCATATTGTGTTAATACTTGCTCTGAGGTGATCATTTCTTTCACGTTGTAGAATGCGGTTTCGCATTGTTCCGTCCATTTCCATTGATGGTTGTTCTCTAACAACTGGTTCAAAGGGTGTACCACGGTGGACAGATTGGGTAAGAATCTGTTGTAGGTTCAGCTACATTGCTTGGGCGAGGCGCTTTCAAAACTGCTTCCAGTTTCTCTGGTGACTTGTGGAGACCATGACTGTCAATATCATGTCCACAGAAGGTTATCTTCTCTTTGAAAAACTCGCACTTTGTCTTGTTTGCTCTTAAACCATGAGCCTGTAAGCGACGTAAAACTTCTTCTAGGTTGGCAAGGTGCTGATCATCATTCCTTCCAGTGATGATCATATCATCAAGGATACAGCTTGTTCCAGACGTCCCTTCTAACACTTGATCAATGGTGCGCTGCCAGATAGCAGGTGCAGAGGTGATACCAAACACTAGTCGGTTGTACTGGAACAGTCCCATATGGGTGTTGATTGTGAGGTATTTCTTTGAATCGTCTTCCTCTCTATTTGGTGATATGCTTGGCGGAGGTCAATCTTTGAGAATTTCTGCCCACCAGCAAGGTTTGCAAAGATGTCTTCAATGCGAGGAAGAGGGTACTGCTCTGCTTGTAGTTCTGGATTCACTGTGATCTTGTAATCACCGCAAAGTCTGACGGAACCATCTTTCTTGGGGACAGGCACAATCGGTGTGGCCCATTCACTCCACTCCACTTTAGTGAGAATACCTTCATTCTGGAGTCTCCGCAGTTCCTCCTCCACCTTCGGCTTTAATGCATACGGCATCGGTCTGGCCTTGAGAAAGCGGGCTTGGCTGTCGTCTTTAAGAGTTAACTTCGCTTTGGCTGATGTAAAGGTGCCCAGTTTATTTTCAAAAACATCAGAGAACTTGTCTAGCACAACGTCCAAACGCTCTTTCGGACTTGAGGTAGCTAGTGAAGCCTGCAGCGACTTGATAGAACACCAGTCAAGGTGTATGGTACGTAGCCAGTCTCTTCCCATTAGAACAGGACCCTTATTCTTGACGACATACAGATCCAGCACCTCTCTTTGGTTTTGGTAATCCACGGGTACTTTGAGCACTCCTACTGGCATGATGTTTTCCCCGGTGTAGGTTTTCAAGGACAGTCCAGTTTTGTGCAGGGGAAGCCTGTTAAATTTCTGCTGGTAGAGGTCAAATGAGATGATAGACACAGCCGAACCTGTGTCCAGTTCCATCTTAAGTGGTTTACCAGCAACATCCAAATCAACCCAGATAATATCATTGCTCTGTTTTCGCACATTGTGTACCTCGAAGGTGGCTAATATGTCTTCATATGCATCAACATTAACATCAACCTCAACAGCATGTACCTCTGGGGTTTTGGTTGTTTGCTTGGGCTTGCCTTGCTGTTTAGA